AAAAAAAATAGATGCAAATCCATATACATTACTCACTGACTTCCCATAGCATGGAGAATAAAATCCACAGGCCTCTGTCCAGCTGCAGAGGGTGAATTTGCCCCAGGCAGCCATGTTTTTCCAGAGGGTTGGCACAGTCCTGATGGCCTGGCCTTGGCTCAGGGCTCTGTCGTCTCTTTGCTTCTCACTAAAGCACTGTGTGACCTTGCCCTAGCCTCTGGCCTGCTTTGGGCCAAGTTTTCTCAGTAATTATATCAAAGAGGCTTCAGATTTAGATCTCCAGGGGCTCCTAGTTCAGCCCATGTCTTCACCGCCTCTGTGGAGCCTGGTGTTGACCTCGAGTCTGTGCAGTTTGGTGTGCACCATTGCTCTTTCTCTCTGGAAGCGATTGTCAGCTGGTGACAATCACCAGCAGGCCTGTTTTCAGCCTGTAGCCCCACTGCTTTCAATCCAGGAGGACTTCTGAGAGGGGGCAGGGCTTGTGGATAATGGAGTGGGAGGTGGGGAGAGGGGAGGGTGGGAGGAGGCCCTGGTTAGAAGCTGGAAGCTAAGTGTCTCTTGGTGTTCCCTCCACCCAACCCCCAGGCTTCATTGGTTATGCTCCCAACCTCAAGAAACTGGTGGCTGAGTGGGAAGGTCAAGACAGTGACAGTGACCAGCTTTTTTACACCAAGATCTTCTTGGACCCAGAGAAGAGGGTAAGAGGCAGTGGGCAGGCTCAGGAGAGCAAGCGAGGGGTGGGTGATCCTGACCCCGGCTCCCCCAGGCCAGGCTGCACTGGGAACCATGCCCCTGGGGCCTGTCTTGGTCTGTCCAGGCTGCTGTGTCAGACTGCCACAGACTGGGAGTCTTAGGAACCATAGGCATGTATTCCCCCATGGTGCAGGAGGCTGGAAGTCTGAGGTTAGAATGTCAGAATGGTTGTGTCCTTGGTCAGGGTCCTTCTCCTGGTTCATGGACAACTTCTTACTCTGTCTTCACGTGGAAGAAGGAGCTCGGATCTCCACGTCTCTTATTAGGGCACTAATCCTATTTATGAGGGTCCCATGGTCTAAAACCATCTCAGTGGAGATTCCAACATGGAAATTTGGGGAGTACACGAACATTCAGTATAGACATAATGTAGTAGTCAGACACTGTCACCCTGTTTATCTGTCCAGTTCACTCTTTTCTTGAGATCTTTATTAAGAGCCTACTGTCTGAGAGATTCTGTCAGGGTAAGCAGACACAGCAACAAACTCGACAGTCGGGGTCTCTGCCTTCATGGATCCTCATCCTCCTCATGGAGGAAACAAGGGGTTTCTAACCTCGTACAATGGCTGATGGGCTGAACTTCCCCTCCTCCATCCTGTTTGCAGATATCAGGGGCTGATGAGACCTGGGCTGGACCTGGGCCCCAGAAGCCAAGCCTCTAAGCCTGTCTCCAGGCGGGGCTCACCCAGGAAGTAGAGATGGCAGAACTGGGTCAGTGCAGCCCCAGACCAGCCAGTGTCCCTTGGGCAGGCAGAAAACTGAGGGAACACTTGCAGGAGGTTAGGATTCCTGCTCACCCCCTATGCCTCAGTGCTGTGCTGTGTGGGTAAGTGACTTGCTCTTTTTGCGCATTAGTTTTTGTCATCCATAAAATGAAGCAGCTGGGTTGGGGCAGTGCAAACCGTGCACTTGATCAGTCCTTCCTGCCTGTTCTCCTTGGCGGCCAATGACACCACTCACAGAAGCCTGGGGTCTAAAACATGAAAGTGGAGCTGCCCTCTGTGGGGTGGGGCTGATCTCAGAGTGCCACTGTTCCTCCTTGCCCTGGCCTAGTGTTCCATGAGACCCAGCTGAATCAGAAAGAAGCAGCCTTGTCCAGTGGTTAAGGATAAGCACTTCGGCACCAGGGACCCTGGGTTCTAGTCCCAGCTCAGCCACATATTAGCTGTGTGACTCTGGGCAAGTTACTCAGTGATGTACCTTATTTTATTTTTTTCCAACTTTAAAATGCAGTGGTGATAGTAATTTTATACAGAGTTGTTGTGAAGATCAAATTAATACATACACAGAACATTTATAGACTACTTAAAATAGTGGTTGGCCTGGAGACCAGCAGATGGAGTAATGGTTACTTCAACCGACTCACATGTAGTCGACTGCAATTCGAGTCCTGGACCCGGACACTTAAAACTCATGCTGGGGGACCAGCAGTTAGTGTAATGGCTATGTCACTGGACTCCCACGTAGTCAACTGCGGTTCGCGTCCCGGACCCGGTGGCTTAAAACTCACACTGGGGATGGGAACCAGCAGTTAGTGTAATGGCTATGTCGCTGAATTCCCATGTAGTCGATCGTGGTTCGCGTCCTGGACCCGGTGACTTAAAACTCACACCGGGTGCGTGTGCATGCGTGCCCAAGATCCTGAGAGGAGAATGGAGGAGAAGGGATTGCGGCGTGACCATCCCCTCTGGGGGGT